ACGAACGAACGAATGAATGAATGAATGAACGAATGAATGAACGAATGTACACACATACATACATACATACATACAGGTATGTAGTCTATATATATATATATATATATACATACATATATACCACATATAGATGTACAGGTAGGTAGATCGATAGACAAATAAATAGAGACAGATGGGTAAGTCTGTGATAAAATATATACACATGACAAACAGGTGTATGGATGTGCAGATTTACAGATGTATAGACATATGGATATACAGATACACATAATGTTAAGCTATCTACTGAGACAAAGGCGTGGTGTTGTCTGCTTCTCCATGCATTGTCGTATCCATTTGCTGTTTCGCTGTACCCCTACCCCTACTCCAACAGCTACTGCTTCCCTTGCTTTTACTATTGCTGCTGCTACTGCTACTGCACTACTGCTGCCACTGCTACTGCTGCTGCTACTGCTACTGCCTGCTACTGCTGCTGCCACCGCTATCGCTCTACGATATGACAAATACTGGCACTCTCTTCTTGTCAGATCTTTACGAAAATTGCATTGGGTTGTCAGTGGTGCTACTACAGGCACCTCGCACTGCTACTCTCCTTAATGACACTGCTATGACCACATTTGGCTACTGTCAGTGTTCTTGCGACGTGGGTTGCTGTGATGTTCGCACAACGGGCGAAGACTGTCACCAGTATGAATATCCCGTCTGAGGTCAGAGGTCTCGACCACACAGTCCCTCAACGAGTCTCGGGCTGTGAGGGCAGTTGTGGCCCCAATCCAGGCGATAACCAGGGGTCGCAAGAAACGTCCTTGGCTGCTGCATGGGCTGTAGGAGCCAGTGCTCACCTCAAGTGCTTGTTGTCTGCCGTCAGCTTTTTGAACACATTTGGCATGGCATGCATCACGGTCCCAGGAACCAAACTTTCCTGAGTTCACGCTTGAGCGGGCCAACGAAGCCCTGCTGCCGAGCAGCTAAACATTTCGGCCAACGCGGAAAAGGCATTCCCTTGCACCTCACAAGGGGCCAAAGGAGTTGGCAGAGTTTGAAACACCATCGAAAGTTGAGGAACCAGATTTTTGAGGCATCCTCGTCCGAGCAGGCTTGACTTAGACCGGAGGCTTACAGATCATGGCAGTTGCCTGCGCTTAAAAACCACCAATACTCCCGAGGCGAAACATGCAGTCACATCTTGAATGTCTAATCAGAGCCTGCTGACGGCGTTCATAATCTTGCTTACCAGACTATTTGCACCTAATCTCTGTAAAACTCGGGCACATTGACGATCCGCTCGGTCTGCCAACTGAGGGCCAACTTGGCCAGCAAACTTCACTCAAAGGCGGCCTCGAGTGTGATTTCCACATCTGGGTGGCCCAGGACCTTGGCTGATCGGCAAGTGGGTTGGGGAGATAGGTTGGGAGCTTGCAAACAAATTTAGGCTTAGGCTTTGGTGTTCAGTCTGAGCAAACCTGCCATCTTCAGTTCTCTGAGGCAAGCGGCAGTGACGAAGGCAGGACCCTCCTGTCGGCAAAATCGGGGGTCTTCCTTGCGGGGTTCCGGATTTTAGTCCACCTTTCGTGGGCCCTTATAGCAAGGATCTGATTAGTTACTAGTTGGAGTCTACAGTAGTGCTATTGGGGTTTTCTCGCTTGTGAAACTCCCGTTCGCGGGAGCCCAGGCACCGACCCAAGAGGGCGCGAGCTTCGCCCACTGGGATCGCTTCCAAGGGGTGCACTTTGCTGAAGGCTGTGGGAGATGTAGGGACCCGACACAGTCTGATTTAGTTTAACATGAAGATCCCCAACCCTAAACCCAAACAGCCTAAACTTTAAAACCCAAGCAACTTAAACTCTAAAACCCTGAAGCCAAACAGCATAAACTCTAAAACCCTAAACCGCCCCACATCAGCAGACGCTAACTTCATAACTGACGTTGAAGCCTCGGCCACCTCCACGAGGCGCGGTGCAAAAGTGGCCTCACTCCTGAGCGCGCTGGTGTCATGCTGCATATATGCCCTATATATAATATACACTAGACCGCGATCAATCCGCCGAAATCCGGAAACGGCTGAAGCACCAAGCCTCACTGCAGGAGGGCGCAGATGCACCAGCAATCCCTGCAGGCAACAAGTCTGACTTTTCTGGCGCCTGAGCCTGCTGCTCGAGACCATATAGGAAGGCGAATGTCGCCGAAGATCCATGACCATGAAGATCCAAGGTGCTTCGCCTAAAAGCCTTGCCCTTGCTCACATCATGGAGCTAATTCGAAGATGCCCCCACTGCTCGAACTCTTGGCCCGGTTCGGATCAAGGTACGAGGAGCAGAGTGCCATTGCATTCTGCTAGCTGTGAGCAGATGCATCTCTGGGCGACGGATAGACCTCAGCCCTCTCCCATAGCTTGTGGATAAACACTTAGATGCTGAGATGCTGAGAGGGCTTCAAAGCTGATTATTCTTCGGCCTTAGACCCCTGGATACTACGAGGTGTCCTAGCGCTTGCACCGGACTTGCGGTCCTCACGCATGTCCTGGTGAAGCTCCCAAATCCACAAGTTGGGTCAGGGAAATTCATAAGGATTCTGATGCTCAATCTGCATCAATTGCATGCTTGTGCCAGTTCCGGGTGCTGCACTGGAATGTGCACTTACATTGCACTTCCGCAGGCAACCCGAGAGTCGACACGCAAAATAGGCCCCGGAGCGATGGTGTAGAAGTGAGGAAAAGGCCGTCGGACTGCATCGACCCTCGATGAAGCAGCAGCATGATGACATGGCGAACTACACATTATCTGTGAGCTCCGACCGTTGGCGATTCGTGCATCCCCGGCATTTTTACTCAACATCCCCTCTCTCCTCAGCTTCATTCAAACGTGTGTCGACTTTATGAGCCCATAGCATACTACTAGCCTGAAGCGCTAGAACTTATGAAGCATGAGGCTCTCAGATGACAAAGATTGCTCCATGATACTCAGATGCAACTTGGCAAGCTGGATCTGGATTTCATGGCGGAGAATGATTGATTGATAGATGCGCCCGTGAGACAAGTTGACCAGTGACAAGCCCAGCATTAGTTCCCCGGCCACGGGAAAGCCATGCGAACTTCCAGCACACGAGTCGGTATCATCTGCTGTTGGTCAAGGCTGCCCCAGACTACTGCTTAGACAGTTCGGCAAAACGACCTTTAGAAGCGGATTGCCTCCAGCACTGGGATTTCTGTGTCGGCCCAACTCATTCGACCAGCCGCCGGCCCGGTCGCCTGAGCATGCAGCAGACTCACAGCCCCTCTCCCATGTTGCACTGGTAGCAATGAAACCTCACTGGTGGAATTGACCGGACTGCAATGGAAACACACTAGAAACACAGATTTGCGGCGAGGCTCCTCCCTCCTCCGGCGCCGGCTGTTCCGCCGTCCGTCATGCAAGTGACAGAAGTCGCAAAAGACTCCATTCTTGCAGGAGCGTGCCGGGGGCTTGTGATAACCTGAATTGTCATCTGGACTTGACAACTGGGCGGCATGCCTTCACACTGAGCTGCACCCTACAGTAGGTCCTAGATGTCAGCCATGCACAATAACAACTCCTACAACGCATCTCCGGTCCGATTCGCAGAAGAGATCGGCTTTCACAAGAAAGCGTCACGCCGCATCACGCCCCTATCATATGCCGAGATGCTACAAATCAAGCACAGCGAATTGCATCCATCACCCACGTGTAGCAGGCTGCCGAATGAGAGATCCGGTCCTGGGAAAGCAACGGCATGCGACAAACATGCAAGGCCGCGAAGGCCACAGCAAAGAACCATGCTGATCTGCACCAAGTGTCTCTGCGGGTCTTCCGAACGAAGTCGCATGTAGTCACTCAGTCTTACGCATGATCTGTAACTCTCGCAGTTTGCTGCCGAGGAAATGTCGGATCGATTGATCCGGAGGTTTTCCAGCTTCCCAGGCAATGTTGCAGGGCCCAACCATATTTGGAGGTTCTGGTCGTCAGAGGGACTGTAATCTGAAGAGTCGCTCGAAGCCTCTGCCGAATGTATGGGTGCTGCAGCAAGGAAGCGGGGCCATGGGATCTCGCTGGGCAAAGGCGCAATCGGACACTGCACCGAAGCCTTTGGCTGACTTGAGTCCATCCAACCGCCCCTTCTCGAAGAGGCTCTGTTTGAAGGAGCTCAAGTCTGGGCCAGGCACAATCTCCGGCTGCTGGCTGCTTCGCAGCACGTAAAAAGCCGGTTCGGCCCAAATCACTAAAAACGCAAAAACGGCTGCACTGCGCAAGGCGCACACGCACACATACATACAACGTGATGTCGGACCGTATATCGAGGCTACAAGGGCACCACCATGGTCATCATCATCAACAACAACCAATCCGTACATTTTATCATCATACTATTGGCTAGCAGGCCCTGGCATGCCGTATCAGATCATCTTCATATATACTCATCACCATCTTCTGCTCCACAATGATCATCCTCGTCAACACCATTGTCATGGCGGTCGTCCATGGTGGTCGAGTGTACGTGCTACAATTCCAGAGTTGGAAACAGGTCCAAGGAACATTTGTATCTGCTGCCTTAGGCAAGCAACAAACTACTGTAGCAGTCAATGTAGGACTAGAGCGATTGATGACAGTAAAGCAGACGCCGTGCATTTCTTCACCGCCACGGATTGTGCTGTTGAAGAGTGTCTGCAACACCATCTTCTGGCAAAGCTTGCTTCGGCAAACAAATACTCAAACATGGGTTGGACTGCTTGGAAGAAGCAGCGGCAAGATGAAGCAGCACACAAAGTCAATGGTGTTTGTATGTGCTTGGAAGGGTAACTAAAAACCAAGAAAAACGCAGCGCGAGTGCAACTTGGCAGCGTTGACCGGGAACATGTGGCATTGCCAAGCGGCTGTTCTTACACTTTCTCCCCCCGCCCCCACCCGGCATAAAATCTATCTAACACCTGCAGCAGCGAAAGGCACGGGCTGCCAACAACAGCAACATGAGTCTAACATTTCTAGCAGTCAAGCAATGATAGCGGTCATTGTGCAGAAAAGTGTCATGGCTGCAGTAACAGAAGAGCCCCCAGGTGCGTGCAATGTACAATAGTACAACACATGCTTGCGTGCAGGCGGCGACTCTGCCGCCCAGCTCGGAAACCAAAGCTGCCTGGCCCTGGCCGGGGCTACAGGAAGCCAGGATTCGCTGTGATCCGCTTTCTCCCGACATTGCCCCCACCCCTGCCCTCCGACGAGAAGGCTCAAAGCTGCCGCTGTTCCCGCCTCGGCTGTGTCGGGAATGGCAGCGCTGCCATCCTCCAAACAGCGATGGATCTATGCTTGGCTTAGGTGACGGTGCCGTCCTCGTGTGGTTGTCACCCGCCGCCAAAAGCAGCAAGACAGGAGGATGCCTGGGGACGCGTCGGGGCCAAACGTCGCTTCTCTGAGAGCCGGGCCCGGGGCCCAAAACGGCCGAGGCCCTCTCCAGGCCGTGGCCGTCGGGGAGGAGCTCTCCTAAAAGCAGGGCTTTTGAGAAGAGAGCCTTCTGAAAGACCGGGACCGCCGGGCCTCCACCAAGCGCACGTCCAGAGGGAAGAAAGGCAGCATCCGCCAGGATGAGGGCAAGCCCTCATTTCTCTTCGTCCCAACAGGAAAAGTGAAGAGGACATCCCAAAGACTGAGTGCCAACCACGCGGGTGAGGAGCCCTCGGCCTGGCAGTTGGTCCCGTCGGGGTCGAGTTTGAGGCTCCGGGGCCTTTTGCTCTGCCTGCTGGCAGCCTACACCTCACGGGCCACGCGACAGAGGCCAACCAGGACCTCGGTTGGCTGGGGACGTCTAGCAGTCTAGCACCTAGGCCTTCACAGCTTTGTGCTGACTTCTGTTGCAGCACCCGGCTGGAAGACGCAAGAGACCAAGACTTAACACGCATCCCGAGTCGATGGCACAAGGGGCAGATTCTCACCAGCGCGGTTACATTGCAGATCCTGCGCCTCAGGCCAACGACTTTCTCTTGATCTGCTGATCAAACCGGGGGGACACTGACGCTGCTATTTTGGTGCAAGGCGCCGCTGCACCAAGCTGCCACTGCGCCTGAGACAGTTGGCCAAGTTGACGTTGCGAACAGCTTTGGCATGCCTTCACTGGGCGGAAGGCCCAGCCGATGCGACGGCCCGAGCCAGACCGCTGGGCGTTCCTCGGATGCGCATCGACTCGGAGAGCTTTCTCGGAGAAAGTCTCGGAGCCGGACACCATGAGGGCAGCCAGGCCCCGCTGGCCCTGGCCGGGCAACTGGACTCCCCTCCCCCACAAGATCACCAGCTGCCAACACCTGCGCCGAGGAAGGAGACGGGAGCTGGTAGAAGCAGGCCTGGCAAAGTAGCTCCTGCTGCAAAAGCTCAACGGCTTGGGCCCAAGCCTTGCTGGGATACTGCAACTTCACGGGCGCTGCACCCATCCACACGGACCCGGCCAGCAAAGAGGCCACCTGAACCAAGCATAGCCCAGAGAAGCGACAGCTTCACGAAGTTGCAGAGAAAAAGTTACGTTACGAGCACTGCTGCCACAGCAGAGGCTGTGATCCAGTAGATACCCCGGACTGTAGCACACTTGTAGCAAGCACAGCAAGAACTTCGTGGAGGTTCAATCGAGTGACGCTCTGTAAGACGCCAGCCTTCATGTGCGGCCGGAACTTCTAGATCGCACAGCCCACAAAGTCTCAGCCAAGCCCTGGACCGAGTCATCCCGACCGCCGCTGGTCACCACGGCAGACTGCCGGAGTCGGGATGGATACATTGGGGCCCGCACAATGTACGTTGGGTTCCCTAGCTTCTGAAACTCCCACGTGCTCGGGCTTTGATATCACATGCTTCCCAAGCTTCTGCAAGAAGCACAACTGAGCTTCTCGCCAAGGCAGCATTGCAATCCAGCACATCTTTGGGATCGAAGTTCTGCCAGGAATTGGTCTTCGTCGTGCTAGAGCCCTGCTTTCCCAGTAAGTTCAGCCCCTCAGCTTCCCACCAAGCACGGTCCCAGATATGCTAAGAGGAACTGACGACGCCGCCGCCTCTCCTCTTGTCGTCGGCTCTGGGGTTCGCTTGATGGGGCGCGGCTCCTCTGCAAAAGACCATGTCACGGCGACTTAAGAAGCCCTAGCACCATAGCATCTCCATCGTTGCGATACAGAGCATGCTACTGGTCACTGGCAGACCACGATCACCTGCAGCTGTCCTCAAGAAGCATCAGGGTCAGGGTTCCTGTGCTCAAGCCGAGAGCACAGCTATCCTGCTTAGGGGGAACAGGATGCAAGCGTGCTGGAGCGCGCCTCCGGATTCAGGAGCAGGCAGAAGATGAAGTACTCCGGCCTCTAGCCTGGGCGCAGCAGTAACAGAGATGCACCCATGAGGAGATTGTCCGACAAGCCCTGAGCTCGTGAAGCAGCGTGATTGCATGCGCCTCAATGGCAGATGGCACGACTACGACACCCAAGTCGAAGCAGTCTTCCAGGGCGACAGCCTCCTGCTCTGGAAGCTGCGAGAAGGCGGCATCCGATGCCAAGGTTTTCCAAGTGGCGTCTGACACCTGACGATAAGCTTTCGCGGCCGCTGTTCGTGCAGGTGCGCCTACCCAGACTTCGGAGGCAGATTGCATTGCCTGAGCCGTGCATTTCGGCGACATGATTCTTTGTCACACTCCATCCAACCAATGCCAAGCGCATTAAGATTCATGTTGTCAGTCCTTGCATCAAGCTCACCCTCAAAATAGACGATCCGAGGCCAGCGACGAAACAGCCATCTCTACCATGGCCCCACCAAGGTCCAGTGGCATTGAATGGGCCGAGACGTGCCCAAATGCATACAAACCGCAAACCATCTTGAAAAAAAGTTTTATCAAGGACCGGGCGGAGAGGGGGGAGCACGTGCGCTTTGCCGTCCCTCCGCCCGCTTCTGCTGCAGACCCCCGTTGTCTGCGCCTTCCGTTGCGCTCCCTTCCTCGCCATCCTCCGCCCACCCTTTTCCGAAGGGGCCTTCAGGCCCCCTCTGACGCCGACTCCAAAACAACCACACGAACCACATGCGTTTTCCGCGTGAGCCTCAAAACGAGGCTCCAGTGATGCAGGGTCGGCGGCACTGCCGTCCGCCGCACTGCCAAAGCAAGGCTTGCAAAAATGTGCGCCGCCTGCGGAGTTGAACGCAACTGTGATGTACGACCTGAGCCCTTTACGAGCCAGACAGTCAGACAGGGGTCGGCTCTGCAGACAGGCAAGACAATTTGAGTGTAGGATTTTGTTGTGCGCATACAGGTTTTAGGATCCCGTCCATCGGCCTCCAAATCCATCCCCCTATGCCCTTGTTGTGGCGACTAGTTAGTTCCAACGTTTGCTGCTCTGTGGTGCTCTCGGCGGTGGTCAGCATCGCATCCACCGTTCAGCTGCTGGAGTGGTTGCTCTTGCTACCGCTATCATCGTCATCAACATCAACGATAATCGCCTTGGTTCTTGCCTGCTCTTGTCGCTACTCCCACTATGACTATGACTGTTGGCATGAGAGTGCTGACAGTTGTTGCATTCTTTTCGTTGCTCTTGCTTGCAGTATTGTTCGCATGCAAGAAAGCAGAAACCGCTGCGAGAAGAACGCAGTGGTGATCCTTCCTGTGGTATAATTTCACTGTTATCCGGCCTGTGCCATCAACCTCTGTGCGCTCCACGGCGACGGAGCGGCCACAAGCTGGGACGGTTGCAACAGACCAGACCTTGACAATGACGACTGCTATGCTGCTATCCACCTCTACCGCTCACGTCGTACTCGGCATTAACAGGAGCTAAATAAAAACCCCGCTGCCGCCGTGAATGCAACTACAACTGTGATCAGTTCAAAAGAGATCCACAACAGACCTCTGGGACTCCCACAAAGGGCTCCGAAGCGACTCTGCCGTGGGGAGCAGCCGCCCTGCCAAGGCTCCACGAAGGAGGGCCGAGAGAGCGTGGAGGCCTCGGAGGGTCAGGGATGTGGCTCGACGACCAGTAGGATCTGCAGCTGAAAATCAAAGCTTGATCTCTAGTAAGAGACGTCCTGGACTTTTGATATCCGCCGAGGCCACAGGCCCAGGCGCCTTGGGGATTACCTCAGGCACCCTCCACCTAATCCTCCTCCCTGCAGTCCGAAAGTTTGGAGACACCCTGTTTTTGCATTCGTTTGCCATCCCCTTGCCGGGCTTTGCCTGATTGGAGGCCTCCTCCCCCCTCCCCTTACCCCCTGCCCCTCCCCCCCCCTTCCCCCCCCTCCGCCCCTCTCCCCTCCCACCCTCACCTTTTTAAGGTTGGGGCTGAGAGGCCCCCTGGCATGGTGTACACGACATCCACTGCCCCCTCGCCCTGCCGCTAAAGAGCCGAGGCGGGCAGCGTAGCGTTAAAATTAATATCTCTGGCAGCCAGCACCCTTTGAATTCTGCTTCCGATCTTACGCCAATGCAGAGTAGAGCAAAGCGGATTGCAGTCTAGAGCAAGTGAACCCCTGCTGGTGCCATCCAAGGAACTATGTCGCGAGAACAGCACGTTCACGTGACTGAATGAGGAGTACACATCTCCTTAGTGCAACCCAAAAGGCCCTGTTGCACTGGAGAACACACGTAACACACATAATTGCAAACATAGAGATGGAAAGCAACTTGTAGCATGTCACCCCACGTGTTGCCCGTAAAGCAAAGGCGACAATCACCATTCGGCTTTACAGTGTCAGGCTAGGCCTCGGATGCGATGCCGCATTTCGAAAGAGCTATAAAGAGCAAGCCAAGTTTCGAGCCGCTGGAAGCAGCAGCGTTGCAGCTTGAGCCCTGGCAGCCGTCGCCGTGCAATGCTTTGCGCGCCGTACCGGATGTCTCCGTCACTCTCAGCACCGATGGATCTCAAAGACTGGGGGAACCTGCCTGTGTGGCATCATCGAGGCGGTCATTGGCACAAGCGCGTCTGTGGCACCGCCTACGGCACATCCACTCCACCAGGAAAGCAAGGCAAGCGACAAATAGCGACAACAAGGTGGTGCCACACAAACTCTCGCATGACACGTTGCAAAGAGGCACAAGTGCCTGAGATCGAGACGATCGGCGGTGATTGGAAGGTCCACGCCTGAAATGCTTGGTCCTCCCTTTGCTCCCACTCGCTTCGTGAGACACCGCTCCTTCGGCCTCCTCACGTGCAGCGGCTGCCCGATAAGCAAAGCGGGCCTTGTCAGAAAGGCACTGGGACTGGCAAACGTTTTCTCTGGAGCTCTAGAAGTCGAAGCCGCCAGACCCCGGCTTCCTTGCGCACTCCTTGCTACATGTTTTTGAGGTCCTGCTATCACGCCCGATCACGCCCGAGCCTGAAGTCGGGCTTAGGTGAAGATGCTCAGGCCTCCGGCCTCGAGGAGCAAGGGGTGCTCTGCAGTTGGTGAAGAGACCAGGACCACGCCGGCCAGCAAGCTCCTGACCGAGGACTTTTGATGACTTTTGTTGCTCAATCTGTGAGAACACATGTGCATGATATATCACGTTTCATGCGGACCGTGAATGCCTGGAACCAAGTAGTCTTGGGTTTACTAGCTTGAATTTGGCTACCAAGAAACATGCAGGATCGACCCGGGCCTTCTGGCCCCAAGCAGACGGAGAGACTCCAGTGCGACAAGGCCACCCATCGAGTGGCACAGCAGCACAAGTGGGCCTTGCAGAAGAAACTATGTAACACTACCTGCCACGACGAGACAACGTAGGTATTTATGTAGGTATGTATGTACGTAGGTACTTCAGATACGGTATATGCATAGGCATGGGCATAAAAAGCAACCGCGCGACAGACTGAGAAGAAGCTGAAAAGGTCCAAAGGGATGGAGTGAGGAAGCAAAGCACCACCTGGCCTCTTTGGGGTTTTGCTAGTTCGATGATCGCCTTGCGCGGAGGATACGCAACGCAAGTGCAAGTCGCCCCCGCAGTCTTCGGACATGTGTTCCAACGCGTGGCTGGGCCCATGGCTGCAACGGCGAAGTCTGCCTGTGCCTCAACCACGGACCAGTGAAGGGCAGAGGTTGACCTCGGCTACGGCGGCGTTTCTAGTCCGCCCTTTGCCACCTTGCTTACATTGACCGAGCAGCGCATGGAAGTCCACGGCGAAAAAACGGATGTCAGACCTGAAAGCTCAACAGCATCGGATTGCTGACGATGCCCATGCAAGTAACATTCAGGTCAAGCCACTGCTGCTTGGCAACATACGACGCCAGGTTGATCGACTGCGTCCAAGCCCTCGCGTAGGCGCTGCACTTAGTTCAAAGTATCATATGGACGTTTAGGCGGGTAAGACTGTAAGAGTGAGGAGATACGGGGTCTTCATATATCTGACAAGGACCTGATAAGGGTTTAATTAGGCCGATTGTGCCCCTACCTCCCGTTGCCCCCCGCTTGCCGGACAGTCTTGTCTTCAAGAACCCTGTCTCATGCATATGCGCTTATGCGCACACGAACACGCACAAGGACAGTGCCTAATGCATGTGCACTGGATTGCACTCTGAAGATTCGATCTTTGAATCATAGTGTTTTTCTTCGAGCCTCCACCCAGCCATTCAAAGGTGCTCTGGGCTCCCGTGCCCTCCGTGACCGGGCAAGAACAAAACTTGTCCGTCCGAGTTCGCCTGCACAGGAGAGTCTTCAGTCTGGTGCCGATTCCGCGCTTCAACGCTCCGCCCGCTTCGGCCTGCGTCCGCGGGCCAGTGCCGGTCCGCAAGCCGTAAAGACGGAAGTGGCTCTGCTCCAACCTTGACGCCAAGAACCGCCACAAGCCCCTAGCCGCCCCTAGCCTCTAGCCCTCAACAGCAGGTGAGGTGTACTCGATGCATTTTACCTTCGGAACGGCTTTGCCAACATTTCGCTGCCCGGAACATCTCGCACGTCTCTTACACTAACACCAGATCGAACCTGCATGCAAAAAATCATTCCCGGTATGCCAACACAACAGTTACACTCTTCCAACGACACTCGTTGGAAAATCTTGTGTCGGCGACTGCCGGGCTCCTTTGTTGATAAATATTTCTGTTAGATTAGGGGATTATGCATCGAAACATTTGGATCTTAAACATTCAGCGAGGCCCCGGCTCTCGCATGCCCACACGCTCGAGGGAGACCGTGTTGCGCACGAGGTTCCATGTTCGATCATCTTGATAAGGTCCGTATGCCAGGAATGCCCCTGCCAGCAGCTGTCATGTGTTGTTCATGTGAAGATATGAATTCTCGGCCGACCTAGAATGCAGACCAGGAGGCTGGCAATTGCTGGCAGCCACATGGCATGTGGATCATTACCGGGCGGTGCAAAGGCAGGCCGTGGCCCTCCTTTGACCTTGGGCGTTCCTGACTTCCCCTGCGTAGTTACATCACCAACGTTGTCGACTGTTCGGAACTCACTACATGACATTGCTGTGAGCTAACTGTTGCTCTTGCGTGTCTTGCTTGTTTGTTATCCTCTCGTGTCAGAGTCGTGTCAAGCCTACATGGATGCGCACTCCTTCACAGGGGATCTGCACGTTCAACAAGGACTGCAGGGTACCCACGGCCTTTTTGGAAGCAACCAATCATATGTTAGGACTAAACAGATCAGGCTTCCGATACATAAAGGCTCTACACGCTTGAAAAGAGAAAATCGACACCTAGCTTTGTCGAGAGTCTCGGTATCAATAGCAAGTCATGTCAGCCAATTCGAGTAATCTTAGGCAATTCACCATTCTGATCGCGAGATACCCAATCGTTGCCATCACGGTGACCGAGCCACTCCCGTTCAAACATGCAGCCAAGTATTTACAATCTCCTCGCCCACGGACTGCGAATGACTAGAGATCTGCCATCGCAACCGGAGAGGAGCTTCACGAAGGCTTGAATTGCCCGACCCTTGAGGTCCGGATCCGATCGTGCGATCCTCCTTGCAGTTGAAAGTGCCTGGGATGCCTCGAGTTCGCTTCGCTTCGCCATTTGCCTCGCCCGGCATCCCGTCTCGGCCGCTGTTCGGCCTCGGTCCTCTGGTTGAGGCGGCCCTTGTGGCCATGGCCCGTCTTGTCGGGGCTGCATCGAGCTACAATGTGCGTGCGCACGAAGAGTGCGAGGCTCCATGGTCTCTTGGAGAGGGCGGAGCCCCAAGGTGCAGAGCCGAAAAAGGGGAAGGCAGAGTCTCCGTCAACGAAGCTTGGGGCTTCGAGATGCTTTGAGCAGCTTCAGGCTTCTGCACAGATCTTTCTTCCCCACTTCGGCGTGAAGTCCCGCAGTTTGCGCCGGCATCACGTGCCGCTCCTGTCGACCACGCTCATCACCAGGTAAGATGCAATCTCGACCTCATTGCGCGGACGAGGCACGAGAATCTCTCCGGCCTTCAGAATGCGGCCGGGTCACAGGTTCTTCTGCCCCATCGAGCTGCACCTGGAGGAAACTCGTCGTCACACAGACAAATGCCAGCTGCCCATTGATCCTCACCAAAAACCTTCCACCTCCACAAGCCTGGCTTCTTGAGAACCATTCATACTTCCATCAGTTTCTTAGGCGTCGCAGGGGCCAGGTGCAGCTTCAACGCCCACAGGCTCGTGCTGCAGCTCGCGATCCTCCCTACATCTCCCTACTCGGAGGGGGCAGGTGCTCTTTGCTGAACCTCCAACGAAGCTGCGAGATGCCGGAAAGAGCAGGAGCGCAAGAGCATTCCGTGTGGCACGGGGGCACCTGCAGGAGCGTAGTCTCCGGAGCAGTGCCTGTGGCACCGGTGTTCTGTGTGTCTGCCGAGGTCATGGAAGCCACAGCCGAGAGCCTCAGCACGTCGACGCTCACACAGATCCCCACAGAAGCTTAAGGACTGACCCGGGCCATCTCTCTGCGGTTTTGCGACGTAGTTTGTGTCCACATCTTGCCGACACCGCAGCACAAGCGATCATGCGATTTGGCCCATTGAGCTGCGAGCTGGATGCTGGCTTCTCGATCTGGCGGCCTACTGTTGGGATCGTCGCTGGCCTGAGTCTAGTCTCGAAGCGGCTGCACCTACAGCCCCCTACAGCCTCCTACAGCCCTGCCACTAAAGGATAGGCAAAAAGCATCCGGTCCTGGCTCTAACCTGAGTGTCCCGCCTCAGCTGCCGTCCTGCAAGTCGGAGTTGCTGTCGCAGCCTTCATCCCCCCCCTTCGTGTCCGCCCAAGTCCGTCCTTGTGAATCCCGCGGGTGCCTGGCGCATGGGTCGTATGGGTCGTATGGGTCATGCTGACCCATGTGGTGATAAAGCCTAAGTGCACTGTCGAGCACGGCGTCGCGAGCCTCTACCGCTTCTTCAACGATCTGCCCGTTGTAGCAGCCGTTATAGCGACCTGTCAGTGACAAGTGGAAAGCTCGACTTCGAAAACTCCGGGGACAATGACAAGCAGGCAACCTTCGTACGAGGGATCACTTGAATCGTGAGCCTTTACTCCTAATCTGCATTGCAACCCAAGCTCCTACCCGAGATGCGACTTCGCTCGAGAGGATGCGATGTCAACTCCTTTCGACTGATGCGAGTACTCGCTTGAGATCAACCCACATGCCGCTTCTGATGCCCTGGCAACTTGGCAGTACGACTCAAGCAGACAACTTCGAATCGGGCGTTTCTGCAGTGTTTTCGCACTGGTACATCATGCATTGGCTGCAATCCGGATGCATTAGCTTGCAATGCAGCAGGGCCGTGGCACCGCTGGCCGTAAGCGGATGCTGCAGGCTGAGAGCGCTGCAGAGAGGCATCGAATTAAGTCAATAGATAAGCTTTGAGCTGTTGACGTGCTGTAGGAGCGTAGTAGGCTTACTGCATCCCTCTATCATCCCCACAGTACCCGGCATGCACATCACCAGCCTATCAGAACAGGATCGTTGCTTTGTCGGAGCTTTTTACAAAGTCGTTTGGCATTTGGCACATGGGCTTGACCTCTGCAAGCCGCTTCATCATTGGCATGCAACGAGGGTGGCGACACCGCCCCCAAGGAGCACTCCTAGCCCGTCCAAGAGCAGTACTTATTTTCGTGCTCGGGGGCCGGATCTGTCGCCAGGTGGATCTCCACCTCCTCACGGTAACGAGAAGGCTCGACTCAAGCAACGCACGTCGGATGGTCCTTAAGCCCTCAATTTTTTCGATGACAAGTTTGGGCTGCCTGATTTAAGAGAACCTGAAACCGAACTTCCTGTCCTGCGAATCCCCTTCGTAGAGCTGCGAGTTGAGCTCGCTCAGATCGTCAGAAAACCGCGAGGACATCTGCTCCAAGACCAGGCGGATTTCCGCACGCAGCTTGCAGTTGAAGGCGGCAAACCCACCTTCGCAGATGCATCCCGAGCCCGATCGCGTGGGCATCTGCTTCTTGCTTACTAGTTACTAACAGTTACTAGTACACTTTGCCCTAACATGACAGCCTTGCTTTCTTGAGAGCCCTGGCACCTGGTGCAGACCGGACCTCGTCATCGATGCGCTGCTGGCGAGGACACAGGGGATCGAGGGCTTGCGACGATGTAAAGTTATGAAAGTACAGTCACACGTAGTTAGGCAAGCCTGCTCACACTCTTGAACACACCAACCGGGCTGCAGAGTGTTTGAACGTCCCCTCACAGCCTTGTCTGCCGCTTCTGTGGCAGAAGCATCCTCTAAGCGTAAGTTGTCGAGCTGCCTTGGATTCGTTCGAACCGTCGAAAACTCAAGCGTGATGCAGACATGAAGACATCTGGTGTATCGGAGATTTCAACAGATTTTGCTTGCCGAGTCGATATGGTGACAGGCGCATTGGCAGCTTCCATGTAAGGGCCATGAGTAGAATAACCGCAGTAACCATGCCAAGGAATCATTACACCCGAGAAGCCGTCAAAATCAAGACCCCGGTTAGGTGTGGTAGTTCTTGTAGTTGTGCTTCGGACCAGGACTAGCAGAGTTAATTAGTCGTCGTGGTGAGCCTTTGGCATCCACAGCGTCAGGAGGCTCGTAGACTGAGCCAGGCTGCTTGCCAATTCTCACCGCCATGTCGACGCTGCCGCGCCCCACGTTCAGCACCCCGGCAGGGCTGAGCCTAGATCACGGGGGTAAGATGAGATTGAGCGAGCCCGCAAGAGTTGCAAGAGCAATGCTGTTCCCCCATGTTATCAGGTGAAATGAAATAAGCCTCAAGCAGGGCAGGAACTGTCGGAGTAGGTATTGTTTGTATTCTTCTGAGCCATCCGTCGGGAAATCCCCCTTGATTAATGACCATCTAAGGAACAGAAACAGGCCCATGAAGGGCGCAAGGCGGTGCTGATTCAGGCCGCGCTCGTGCAAATTGAAGGTTTGCAGCATCTCGAAGAGACACCATGACCTCCGAAGGGCGCACGGAAAGCACTGGCAAATGGGGCAATGAGACAGGATGCCGACCTCTTCAAGGGAGTGAGCTCGGAGTCCATCATCATGCCGGTACCCTGAGAGGCGGGGGCGACTCGCGAAAGGCAGAGCGAAGCATGAGAGCGTTTCTCTGCGGGGTCCGTCCTGGCAGCTGGGGGCCATGAGGGCCTTGTAGAAGGAAGACTCTCTCAGCGCGCCGGAGCATAGTTCTTCTTCAAGCCGCCACTGATTCTGACTGAAGGAACAGATCCTTATAGCAGGTCTGACGATCTTCCGCAAATGGCCTACGGGACTCAAGATGCCAGTTGTGGAACCAATCAAACCGATCTCAGCTTGCCGGCAAGCATCCAGTATTTGAGGGCTTCCCAGTCCCCACCCGCGCCGCCCACGTACACAGCGTGCGCACGGAGGCTCTTGGCAAAGTCCTGGAAGGGGAGCGCCCAGAAGTGCGAGATGAACCAATCCACCGTTCCTGGCCCAGGTGCTTCAGACTTTCACTAGGGACCGAGCCTCCTGAGCCTCAATGGCATGCCATGAACCCGATGTCGCTTCGGACTGGGCTTGGCCCTCTGAATTCTCCGAGGTTCCAGGCCCAGCAAGTTCAGCAAAGGAGAGCTGCGACTTCTTTGTCACCGGCTTGATGATGCTGGTGCCTGCAGGCATTAGGGCATTAGGCAGGGAGTTTTTAGTCCTTTGCATGCAGACCGCTGAGCACGCGACAAACATAGTGCATGTTCCTGCAGCGCTGCGTCTTTCACGTTATCTTGCAGCAGGAACCCTCTGTAGACGCTCGGGTGCTGAACACCACACACTACATGTTGGGAAACGGTCCTCTGCTGAATAAGCGATCTGAAGAACCTCGGAAAAGTTGCGAACAAGCAAGCAGGGCGCGCAAATAGGTCTACCCGTGGGCTCCGTTGCACTCCGAGGAGCTCATTGAAGTGTAGGATCCGCGCGATGCTCACGGCGCGCAGGGCTCCAGGCTCGCAGCTGGTCGGTGGATTCGCCGCTCGGAGGTGCAAAGCATACCTGATTCAAGCACACCACAAAAGCCTGCTTTTCTTGCAAGCGTCGGCCGTCCAAACTTGGATTCCCTGTCCGCTGCCCGGCGAGGCGCTGGCGGAGGAGGCGCTGCAGCGGTGTGAGGTCCAACCGCGCGGCTCGCAGCTGCAACGCGAGGATCGAGGCCAGGCCAAGACACGCAGTCAGCAGCAAATACCACCAAGGGATGGGTGCTAGGCTACCGAGGATGATCATTGCCAGGGCCACCATGCCCAGCCAAAACAAGACCGGGATGCCAAAAAAACGAGTTCCCAAGCCTTCGGACATCGGCAAGGGCTTCAGTGTGCCGGAAGATGCTTCTACCGGCGTCGTCAAAGCGATCTTGGGCTCGGTATAGAGCTGCAGCTGTGTGGGAGAGAGCGCACGGATGAAGAAGTAAGGGGTCTTCTGGCACGGGTCGAGGAAAGGGATTCCTGTGTCATAAAGGCGAACCTTGAGCAACCTCGAACCGAAGTGGTGCCGGCTTTGCATCGTGACTATGACAGCTTCGTCCACTGCAGACCAAGTTATGTCCGCGATGTTCCGTCGGGCACCGAGAATGTAGACGAGCAGCTGGAAGAACACGAGCGTCAGCAGTGTGAACAACAAAGCTGCCATCACTAGCACCCAGTCCATGACACACTGAGTCCGGCTGCTGCCGGCTGTTGTGAAGGATGGGCACAGTTGGCACATGCCCAGCACGCCCACGGTGCCCGAGGGGCAGGGGCTGCAGGCAGTTCGGCCCTCGTCTGTTTGAGATCCCGACGAGCAAAGGATGCACTCGCTCTGGCCGGGTTTGGGTTGATACTGGCCTGCGCCGCAGGGTGAACAGGAACCATCGCCCGAGACTGCGGCAGTCCCTGGCTGGCATGCACCACACTCGTGGTTGCCGGACTGCTCCTCAGGGGTTCTCAAAGCTACAACGAAAATCAGCCGCCACACAGTAACCAGGGAATATGACCGAATTTAGCTGAGTTTGAGTGCTGCACCCAACTTGGCGCAAACGTGGACCTCCATCTTATATCTGCTCTGCTGCGTCCCAAAACCCGAAGCTGTCCTTGCCATAGCCCTGCTGGCATGTGCGGCACTGGATGGACCTCGCAGGTCCCAGTGATGGCACACGACTGTATCCTAGTTCTTTGCATGTGCATACCCGCTTGATTCTATTCTGTCGTCCATATGCATGTGTATATATATATATATATATACATACAGGGATGTATACCGATGGATAGGTAGACAGATAGGTACCAAGATAGATAGATGGACAGATATATACAGCATACATACATACATACATACATACATACATATATATATATATACATACATACATACATACATACCTACATAACTAACATACATACCTGCATCACTAACATACATACAGACAGACGCTTACATGCATGCATGCATGCATGCATGCATACCTACCATTACCTGCCTAACTACACAACTACACTGCTTCCATGCATGCATGCATGCATGCATACATACGCAATAAACCACCCCCAAATAATTACATATACATCGCACATATGCCTGTTTGTGTATGCATGGATGTCCGCCGCCATGCATCCACTGATGTATGTGCATGTCTTTACATATCTATATCGCATATGTATGTGTATACATACAAATATACATATCTGCGCATACAAACATTTGTGTGCATGATATAGACATATATATATATAATCAATACACATACTTACAAATGTATACATGTCCGTTATTTATATGCAAAGGTCCGATGCCAGCTGAGGGCTTCACCCTGACACCAGGTCTGCCGCGGGCTCCTGGCCAGCAGGGCACTCGCCTTGTGCGCAGTCCTCAAGGAAACGAGAGGAACCCGCTGTTGCTGGTTTTGGCCACAATATAGCAAGCTTCTTATTATGAAAGTCTGAAATAACTACAAGTACAAAAGTAACTGGGGATCTAGGGGATGAAGAGTCTTGGGGAGGATTTTGGCGCTTTGCAACCAAGCCTTTCCGAAGTAGTTGGGATGACAGACGCAGCTTCCGTTTCCACGAAGGAGCCGTGCATCCGAGACCTCATTTCGCCCCAAAGCCGCAGCCTGCACATAGTCGTCGTCCACGCAGACTCCTCTGTGACTGCAGCCACCGCCACCTGTCTTTCCAGGGCACGGGTAGCAATCGTGGCCCCTCTCGGAGTTCCTCGGCGTAGAACTGAAGCCCATGGCGCACTTGGAACAGTCGATGCCAATGTGGCCTGCACAGCAAAATAGGGGTTGGGCGCGACCCAAAGGGTAGGACCCCAGGATTCATTCGGATAAAATCCAGGGGCACCGAGGGGTGCAGGAAATGAATTCTGGTAGACCTCGAGGTCCCACGCAGCAGTGTCAACCCATCGTTTTAGTGCAATCCGTGGCTGAAGTTGGGAAGACGGATCGTGGGGATAAAAGCCAGGGCCCAACCCCCAAATCAGACTCAATGCACTGGTACACACACAGACATGCACACACACACACACACGAGTCTGCTACGACGGGGGTTCTCGGGCTGTAATGTGGCTAGCTACGTGTGTGTTTCAGTATCCATAGGCTCTTGCTGCTGTGGCAGAAGTCGCGGCCTCTTCAGACGAGATGATTCGTAGGTGTCGTGGCCCTGATTCACTGGCTGCGGCCAGCAGGCATGCTGACGATTGCAGAAGGGCAAACACGGATGGCAGGAGAATCAAGCTCGAGGACTGGAATGGATGGCCCAGGCAACCATTCAGATTGAGGAACGATCGGCTGAGAGCAGATGGCTTGAGGGCTGCCACTCATGCGAAACTTCATGAACACATGCGGCTTTCAAAGCAAATGCCTTTGCCAGCGCAATCACAAGCAATGGCAAGCACATCTCTCTCTCTCTCTCTCTCTCTATCTCTCTATCTCTCGCTCTCTCACTCTCTCTCTCTCTCTCTCTCTCTCTCTCTCTCGTTCTTGCTTGACCGTCACACGCTGTCATTGATTTTCACGCAACCCCCTCAACGTCCGCACAATCCGCACAAAGCGACCGGGATAAAATCCAGGGCCCGACCCCTGTATGCCTATTGATCCAAACCTCTTATCTGCCCCCGCCAAGCCCTATGTAACCCCCCACAAACTGCAAATAAAATCCAGGAGCTATACCCGCCAGCTGTGGGGGATGAAAACCAGGACAGGAAATATTTTCTGGACCCCTAGGTCAGGATTTCATCCCGGGTGCCCCCGACCCCTATAGCAAAGCACAAAGCAGCGTCGTAAAAACGAAAAAGGCCTTCGAAATGCAGCGGGCCCTCTCGCACAGGAGCACGCGCTTTCTCCCTTATTGGTTTAAAGTCGCCATTGCTGTTGCATTTGTTCGTTCGATTTTGCCAACGGAACCCAATCCGCGGTCAGCTGGTTGGTGCCACTGCGCTGCACAAACAGCCAAGTTCAAACAGTCTTGCATGTGTCAGCGCCCAATCATGACACTCTAGTGGTGCTACACATTATATACATGGTGGACGAGTGCAGGCGACATCAGACGACCACTACCCCCAAGAAAAGACCCTCGCAGCAGCATGTGGCAGCACAACAGGACTTTGCGGAACCCTTCAACAGCGTACGATAAAAGCAAATGTGGAAGCAAAGCAAACATATTGCCAAGAGCAAGCACACGATCTTCCACAGCCGGCCTGGTAGGCACTCACAAACCTGGCTCTTGGAGTTACAAAGTCCGGACTGTCCCAGGCAGGCGTCTCTTGGAGCACACGGGCCCTGATCCAGATACACCAGGTCGTTTGACGACGTGCCCAGAATGATCTCGCTCTCGCCGTCCTAGCTGTCACAAGTCACAACATGTCATGAGTCCAGGTCACAGTGCCAGCAACAACCGGCAGAACAGCAAAACAGTGTTGAGGAAGCCCGGCGTCGCCATCCCAATCGGCTGCCACTGGCACAACATCCCCACTGAAGCCATCCAGCACGTGCCTTTCAAGAGCAGCACCACAAGGAAAAACCGCACAGGAAGAGTTCAAAGGTTTTGGAGACTTTAGACTTTAGAGCCCTGCCTTCGGTGCAGCTTGCCTCCCTCGTCTTGAAGGTAGATCTGCAGCAGGCCGGATGATCCCAGAATCAAGTCCTCAGGTCATATGCCGTACTAGGAGAGCTCTGTTCCGCACCACAACCACCTTCAAAGCACGTGGACAATTCTGAGGAGTCTTGGCAAGGCTCCAGCTTTCCGTCTGCGTTAACATCTGCTATAGCGGGTTGGGCTGAGCCTTCTCCAACAATCCCCGCAAAGGGGCTTTCGTCCTCCCACGTTCACAGAGTGCGATGCAAAAGCAGCTTCTATCAAAGAGCAGCCAACACAATAGACTGGCGCAGAGGACATGCTTCTAAGCGCGGCGAATTGCTTCTGAATGCCCTACCACGACCTGGCCTCCGGTACCGGTTGCATCTGCCCAGAAGCAAGCTGGCGCCAGTGCAGCAGCCTACCAGATGCGAGGCCGACGAGGATGTCGAACAGTCCGTCTTCATCCCAATCTGCCACGGCTCCTCCAGTTACGGTGGGCAACCCATCGTGAAGCGACCAGCGGAACACCTCAAAGTCTGGCAGAAAGCCTTCTGAGCCGTTCCGCTCTAGAAGCACCAAGGCTTGCTTCTCGATAAGAAGGACGTCATCGTCTCCGTCCATCGTCCAATCGACAGTCACGATCGACAACGGGGAGCGTCCCTCAAGCGAAGGGAGCTTCGTCGTGGTCTCCTTCAAAGACCCGTCCGCTTCATGCAGAAAGAGCCGCCTGCCGTCAGCCACCGAGACGAGGAGGTCGGCCTTGCCGTCTCTATTCCAATCGACGATGCCCGGAGTCTTGCGGGCCATACCCAGCCCAAGGTCACCCACAGGATTCGCGAGTCCCTCCTGAGCCTTGAAATCCTCGCCGACTTTGCCGAGCCCCAGGTCCAGCCTCCCGTCCTGGATCGCGCGAATGGACACCGAGAGTCTCGTCGGGTTGCGGGCACTTCAAGGGTGGCAAGGTTCGACAAAAGTTTACTGAATGGTGACCCAGCATCTCGGAAGCCCACCACCAGGTCCAGGACCCCATCCATGTCCAAGTCGCCGTACGCAAGGCACGGAGGACCCTCCGCGGATGAGGGCCCGGGCCACTGGCTGGGAAACGCACTGTCGCTTCCGGTCAGATACTTCAGAGTACCGTCGGAGAGCTGCTCCAAAAGCAACCCTCCCACGACGAGGTCCCAGTCTCCATCGGAATCTGCGTCGATCGCCTGGCAGAAACCCAGCAGACTACAGGACTGCTTTCGGATGGGAGCTCTTGGGAGCCTGCAAGCACAGAGAGTCATCCGTCGAGAGCCCCTGGCGGCGAAGTACATCGCCAACCTGCGAGAAGGGGCTGTACTCGTCCGGAACCTGCAGGCAGCACCGAAGCGATCTCAACACTCGACAACGGAGGCGCTGTGAGACGCTGTGTGAAGTGTGCAAATAGCCTTTCGATTTGGTCAGCATGCCTCTGAACAGCAACATGTACTCTAACGTGTGGAGACGGGTCGCGAGGTATGATAGGAATGTCTGGTTTCTGCCACTGGAACATCGATACACTCCTCTTTGCATCGCTGGTCCGTGTTGCCGTGCGTCGACGGGCGCGGCTTGTTGAGTTTCAGAGCTCGGCTGCTTGGCTTTAATTTTAAGTTGGGTTGTCAAACATCACGAGACTCCCGTGGCGAGGCTACCTCTAGCTAGCATTTGCTTGCAGTTCGTTTTGGGTGCTCCCTGATGAGGCTGCCTTACGTCCGCAGGAGCCTTCCGAAGACGACATGAAAGTAGCACGAAGCTAATGACTCAATGACTGCCTGCACAAAATGGCCCTGCTGGTTTCTGAAATATTGTATCCGACCACCGGCAAGCAGGAGAAGGTCCAGATCTCCTTGGATGGCAAGTGCTAAGCGAGAGCATCAACCGTCTCCATACACATCTGACACTGCCGTGCTTTGACTCAGGATATACGTTTGGACCTGACGAAGCCACACGCAGCTTGGTGGCCGTCGCTGTCCCAGTCTACCACGGCCGGCTGCACTCGCGTCTTCAGGTCCACTGAGGCAAAAAGCCGCTGCTCCTGCAGAATTTCAAGCAGAGTAGAGTGTACATCAAAATCCTGCAGATCCCTGAAAGAACCTCCAAGAAGATCCCTTGTAGAACCCTTCCTTTGTGAGCACGTGGCTGTCCTCCAGCAGCTGTGGCTCGACGCCGGCACTGCCTCCACGCAGCAGGGTCAGCCGTCCCTGACCGCTGCCGAGGATGAGATCCTGGGTTGGGGCTGCCTAGGTTTCAATGGGTTTGGCGCTTATCTTTTTGCTTCCCCTGACCAGCACGGGTCTAGAGTCCAGAGTTAGGGGCTGTGATCGCGCGACCCTTGGGGCTCTGCTTACAACCCCCGGATGTTTTGCGAGGGCGGGCTTCGCTGGCTGCAGTGCTGAGCGGCTGGAAAGCCATCGGAATCCCAGTCGACTGCGGTGGGCGCACAGTGTGACCCGACCTCAGCTGCAAGTCAATGGCACACGAATGGCACGGCTCCAGTCCAATCTTGGGTCCCGACATCAACGCTCGCGAAGGGCCCGTCGGGCTGATTTGAGGATACGAACTCGCCGTTCTCTTGGGGAAAAAACCACAACTTTCCGTCAGCGCTTCCGACGATCAGATCGAGATCTCCATCCAGGTCCCAATCCACCAAGACAGGCACGGCTGACTCACCCACGTCAAAGCCAAACAGTGCGGGTTCCTCGGCGGGAACCTCCAACATGTCCGGTCTGGAGCCTCTGCGAAACCAGGCCAGGTCCTGGAGTCCCCTGCTTTGGACGATGAGGTCTGGAACTCCGTCAGAGTTCCAGTCGCACGCAGAGGGCGACGCCATCTCGCCGACCCCGTAGCCCTCGAAAACATCGCAATTCAGCGTGGTTCCTTGCAAACATGGAACTGCTTCATCCAACTTCTTGCGAGGACTTCAAAACAGAGCCGATGGGTCCCACTCCCTCTACGATGCTTGGGCTAAGCGACCATTCATGAGCCGGCAGAGGTGGAGTTTTCCAGCCTGGTCCCCAACCATCACTTCCTTCATCCCGTCGCCGTCCCAGTCCCACACTGTCGGGACCACGGCACAGGAGCCCGAGGAGCCCGAGGAGCCGAAGTCGTGAGACGCCGTGAGTGCAAGGGAGCGGTTGCCCTGTCCGAGGTACCTGCGGTCCGCTGCGGTGCTGCGACGTGCATTGACATCTCGTTACAGATCGTCCTATCTCTCCTTCTCTTCTCGGCACCGAGTCGCACATCCAGCTGACATCCGTGACCCAGGACCAAATCTGGATTCCCATCGTCCGTCAAATCTGCTATGGCAGGCGCCGTGCGACCAAGGGTTGTCAGCTTGCTGAAGGGGTACCAATTCCAGGTCATGGCCACAGTACCACCTCCCGAACCTTTCCTTAGGCTTTGAAAAGTGCTCCAAACCAAAAGGGATGCTGGCGAGCGACTGCCTACAGTATGACTGAGTGCACCGAGCTTCAGGAACTTGAGATCCCCGTCTGCATTGCCCACCAAGACATCCAGCTCCCCATCGCCGTCCCAATCAAAGATCGCGGGCTTCGCAGACTCCCCGACCTCGATGGAACCTCGGCTTATTGATACTTCAGCTCACCACTCGCCACTTCGGCTCTGGGAGAGAGATACGACAGGACTTGAACGAAAGCTCAGAGCATGGGCAAGACTCACTCTTATTGAGACTTGGAGCGGAAGGGGTTGTCCGTGGAAGCAGAAAACTTCCCATCCGAGCCTTGCAAGAAGAGGCCCAAGCGCCCACTTCCATGAGAAGTCACCTTAGATTCCAAGTGCACCCAGACTGGAGGGCGGCACGCGCTGCTTCTCCTCTTGAGTTTGAGGACTGTCTTTGTGTCACTTTCTAGAGCCTTGCTGGATTTGCCCAGGTGTCCCTTTTGAAGCGGCCTGGAGTCTGAAGAATGTAGACCAAGCCTAAGGGGCCTGACTCTACAGTCATGCCTTGTCATGCAGCTGGACGCTTCCGAAAACCCTGTTGACCCCTTTGTGCTTAATTCTTCGCTCAGCTACCACATCGAGACGACCATCGGCATCCCAGTCCACCACTGCAACACCTTGCGCAGCGACTGCGGACTTCCACCGTCAGCAAAAGCTGACTTTGCACCGAGCCTGCCAGATCCAGCTGCGCCGAGCTGCCGCCTAACCCGGATAGGGGTAGCGAAACAGCGGAACTACAGCGACTCAACGAACCGAGTGCAAAACCCGCCAGTGTTGACAAGAGTCTGCCGCTTGACAGGATCTTTGGGCTCGCTTGGGCAAAGAGCTCATGCACCTTGCCGGTGCATCTCCCTGGTTCCCGCTGGCAGAATTCATGGACCTTGACATCTTCTTTCCGTTGCAGGTGCGGCCGCAAGGAGTGGCAGGTCGCATTGCCACTGACTCCACCGGCCATGGAGCGCAGCGTTGCGTTAGCAGCGGCCAGGTGACAGCTGGCGTCGGCCAACCAAGTGAATCCAATGCATCCGTCCGTGGCCTGGCACCGCTCCGCACATTCGATGGACGAGGCCGCAACCTCACCCCGCCCTCCGTCCAAGCCGGGACTGCTCAGCGGCACGTACCGGGAGTTTGCAGTGCAGGAGGGAAGTTTTCTGCAACAGGACGCGATCGTGAGTCCGGCTGCAGACGCGTTGTTGATGGGCACGAAGCCCGAGTGTGATGGACAATTGAAGCTGCTGCACAAGCGATGGCAGCACTCTTCCGGTGTTCGGCCCTCCTCACCTGGTCTGGGCTTGGAACCGCTGGGACAGCGGAAGTCGCCGCACGTCGCTGCCGCCAACGTCGACCATGCCGCACATGCCAATACAAGCACCGTATGGCGAGCCATGGCAGTCCTGTCTGCCATGTGTGCCGAATCTCAGCGCCTTCTGGTGCACTCTTCAGTCGTCTCACAAGTAGACTACCACTCAATGTCCTCGGACGTAGATTGAGACACTGCTTCTATGATGATACCACGTGAGCTGCAGTTAGATAACAGAGTGTCTATCTCGATACCGACTTCATGCCTCGCAACATGGTTCAAGCCAAGCTTGAGAGCGGACATGGTACTTCTGATAGGTTACAGAACCACCTTCCTTCTTGCGAAAAACCGGTGACTGAGCAATAGCTCTTGGCTGTATGTAGTCCCGGAGCATTCGCTGCCTCTGTAGGCCCGGATTCTGTGGCCCTTCCTCAGAAACATCTCACGGTCGCAGGGCGCAAGCTGCGCAAGGGCACAAAATGGAGCAAGCTCGCTCTTTGACCAAGGCTCGGAAACCAGCGCCGGATCCTCGCAGGCTTTGAGGCTTTCGTGTCTCAACCCTCATGAAAGGGGAGAGGAAGTCCTTTCGAAGGGAACGTCTGTGAGGAGGAGACGCGAGCCTGCCGAATCCAGCGGACCACGGCGCAGGCATCGCTCCAATCGTTGCAAAACAGAAGCCTGGTGGCCGCGGGCCCCGCAGCACTGCACCCGACGCGTCCATGTCCAGGACTGAAACCTGCTGCGGTTCCCACTCCCCTGACTGACGCTTACCCAGATGCAAAACCTGGAATTTCGCTGCATGGTGGAGGGCGAGGGCAGGCGTCGCTGCTATGGCTCCAGGATGCCAGGTCCTGTCCGCTCTTCCAGCTCAGGCTCGAGTAAATGAAAGCTTGCAGCCCCGCTCCTCTCATCTTCCTTGGATTACGCCAAAGAAGTTCAAACTGCCTAAGCAGCCTGCAACGATGAAATGATCGGCCTCCTCCAATCAACTTCCGGCCGAGGCACCACAAAAACCATGACGGGATCGCCACCTGTCACGGTCAACCATGGAAACTTTCAGAATATATCGCACTCCGAGAGGTGACCAATTCTCACAGCTCGACCCAGGCCAGCTTTCGATTCAGGCACAGTTTCTGTTTCCAACCGAAAGGCCATCTCAAGCTGCGACGCACAGCGGCGAAGTCCAAGTGCTGTTTTCCATGTTCGGATCGCAACGCGGGTCGTGGTCTCCAACTTCTCAGCACGCACCCGTGTTGCAGAGGGGGGTCTCCGTGACTTGTGAGCACCTAGCCCGTGATCTGAGCAACCACACACCCAAGGCAGATCCTCAGCTGGAATGCAAACAGCAGCATCCTCCATCTGCCGCTTTCTTTGGGCCGGACCGCAGCGCGCAGGTTACGCGACTTGAGCCGCAGCTCAAGGTAGATTTCGACTCTCGGGTGCTCGAAGGTACATTCGGGGTTTGGACAGGAACGTACTCCATAGTTGTGTTTGAAGGTGTCCACGTCCGCATCGGCACCCCCCATCAACATCCCGGGACCAGGAGCTTTGCCAACACACTGGGGCCTGAGGGCCCCAATCCGCCGGAGTCCTGGCCACCCTTGCTACCGTATATGTTTCGGCTTCTGGTACAAAACTTGCAGTATCGCTGCTGTGCTGTCGAATGTCGCCAAAAGCGAACACACTAGCACGTACTTGAATGCTTTCTCTGCCTACATGTGATATGTACAGTGTGCAGGCATGTGGCTGCTGCCTCTGAACGGCGGGCGGAGGTCTGTCAGCGGGACCATCCTGGCAGTGAAGCCCAATTCGGAGAGCTGATGGGCAATCACGGGCGACAGTTGTCCATCTCTTCTTCTAGTTTCTCGTGCTTAGTTTCTGTTTGTGTCTGCAGTGGCAGCTCGAGCGTCAGCAGTTTGGCAATGGCAGTGGCGGCAATAGTAGCAGCAGCAGTAGTAGCAGCAGCAGGACTAGTAGTAGTAGTAGTAGTCGTCGTCGTAGTAGTGATAGTAGTAGCAGTAGTAGTAGTAGTAGTAGTAGTAGTAGTAGTAGTAGTAGTAGTAGTCGTGGTGGTGGTGGTGGTAGTAGTAACGTAGTAGTAGTAGTAGTGGTGGGAGCAGGAGCAAGGTCGCGGTGGTCGTCGGTGTCGTCGAAGTCGTCCTTGTCGTGGCAGTCGTAGTAAGTAGTGGCAATGGGCAGTGGGTGGGTAGTAGCTGCAGACTGGTTCTCAGCAACCGGAAGTAGCCAGCAAGTAGTGACCAGAAACCAGAAACGGGAAGCACGAAACGGGCAACCTGCTAGGTAGCTAGTAAGTGATGATTAAAACGTTGTAAGTAGCTAACAATAAGCAGTAAGTAGTAAGTAGCAAGCAATGCGAAGGAAGCATAGCAACTAATGCGTAGTGCGGAGTCATTAGTCATTAGTCGCTGGCCTGCACTATGTACTGGTAGTTCGTAGTTCGTAGTTCGCTGATGGTCTATGGCTGGTAGCCAGCAGTTCAGAATTGCTGACGGAGTTCCCCTTGACCTTTGAAAAGAGGATAAACTGAACATCGTCGTACAATCGTTTTCATTTTCGATGCTGGACACAATTCAGGTAGGTGGGCTGGTCTTGGATCCAGGTCCTGCGAAGTTGCCTTCGCACACCGATGCAGCAGTTGTAGCGTGGCAGCCTTATGCAGAGCACGATGTGACAACATCCGAGCAGCACAGGGAAGAACGGACTTTCATAGCAATCTGGGCCCAGGAGCTCGTCCACGTCCGTCCCCATGAACTGGCCCGAACCCTGGATGAAGCCCAGGAGCCTCGGCCCCCGAGGGAAGCGAGCGAAGCGAGCGAAGCGACACGGCAAACTGCCCAGCTGCGCGCTTCGTGCCTACTGGACGTCATCTGTTGCACTGCACTCGGCATTTCATGAGAAAACACGAGTCGAACGCACGAAACGTCAAGACTTCGCCGAGCCCCGCACGTCCTCCCATGAGTGCGGGAATAGTAGTGCACCAACTGAGCATCCTCCCGAGTTGCACTGAAGCTCCGTTTCTTGCTGGGTTCCGAACTTATGCAGCAAAAACCCAAACCAAAACAAAAGGGCCACAGAACTCCGATAAATCGCAGCTCGTCTTGCGAGCCTGGTACATCTCCTGCCATGCCTCTGCGGTTCAGGTGATCTTGACAGAATCTCAGATCTCAGATGCTATGACATGGATGCAGAGGAACTCAGGGCTGGACCGACGAAGGCTCCCAAGTGCCTGGGCTTGGGTCCACGGAAACCTGCCGGGTTCAAAGGCGATGGCTCAGAGCACGCGACGGATGCGACATATTATGATGCATCCGAGCTCCCCAGCCTCAACCAGGCCAAAGTCTGAAGCTGCATCCCGCAAGCTGACCTGTGGCAAAGAGCTCGACTGCTGCGGAAGTTCCTCTGTCACATCTGTTTGCTGACCAAGAGTCCTCATAGATTTCGGAATCTTCTCTAGCAACGCCGCTGTCCTCAACGGCGAACCCGCACGTTTACTTGCTGGCACTAGCCGACGCCGAACGCACCCCGTTCACACTTAGCCGCCATCTATTGTGGAATGTGTTTGCGGCCACACAGGATGCTTTCTGACCTCAAGAGAGTGGTAATGCTGCTGGTGCCTGATTGGACTCAACAGCGCCCAGAAAAGCTTCGGAGGTCACCGATGCCTGGCTGGCAAGCCAGAATGTATCGAAGCTCCCTGCCAGCATCTCTCCCAGGCCTGTCGGCCGACCTGCGGCGCCTGCAGCCGAACTTTGCTACTTTTCTGTTTGCGCTTCGTTTCTACGAGCAGGACGAGAATTGCCATGAAAGACCTCGTTCGTCGTCTCCTTGGTCATGTCATCCTCTCCGAAGGAGACGCCCTTCTCTCAACTTTGAAGAGATGCAACAAGGTCTTTCGGGGAAGGCTAGCCTCACACTGTCAGGACAGCAGCAGTACCGTTGTTCTATGCTTTCGTGGTAGAAAGGTCCTCGCCCTCGACTCCCTGCAACATGTTGCGGAAGGACCGTTTGGCATAGGACTGCGATGCCTCCTGCACGATACGCATTTTGTCCAAGATTATCTTTGCTGTCCTTCGACGCTCAATCTTTCAGACCATCCGGCATCTCGCAACATGGGATGGCCCTCTGGCGGTACAACTCTACGCTGCAAGGTGTCCTTGGTCACGGAGCCCGCGACTCCAGTGACCCTCTTTGCTCTCAAGTCCTCGGCACATGCAAGCAGCTGCAAATGAGAGTGCACGGACGTACACTTCTGGTGTCCTCAGCTTCCAGCTAGACTCGCCCCAACCCCACACACCACCGATGCTCAGCCGAGCTGCCATGGACACCCAACGGTGGCCCTTGAGGTGGTTCAGCCTCCTGAGCTCCAAACTCAGATCCGATCAGATCCGGCTTCGCCCCTTGATACGTCCCTGGAACGACGATAATGGGCTCACCTGCACTGCAACGTCTATGAAACCCCGTCACCTGTGACGCCAGTATCAGTCCAAGTGGCTTGAGGAATCGCCCCTGGGCTGGATGTTGAAGCACATGTCACGTGTCCCTCATTACAACCATATGCCTTCGTCTTCTGTGAGTGAGCAATACAAGCACTACATCAACACTGGTTCGAGTCGAAACGTTTAAGACTGGGTTCATGACCATGTGAAGTCAACAATCAGAAGAGATGGTCGCACTTTCTTTGTCAGCAAAGGTACAGGGTCGACGTCCCAGCGAATGTGCACCTGCAACCATCGATAATCTGAACTTGCATGATCCTATCTGCTTCCTTCCCTGTTGTCCAGTACTGCCTGCTTCAGCTGCAGGAATCCAATCCCTTCAGAAATCTGTAAAGAAGCGCACATAGGTCCAGACCAGAAGGAGAGCTTTCGATGCCATGAAGGGGAGGCTGAAGTCGGGCGGCGCGGGCCTTCTGTTTGGCATCCATGGTCTCCTCGTGTTCGTCATCTTCGTCGGAAACCACTGTCTTCGTCTCAGCCTCAGCACGCAGAGCTTAGCCGTTCGACCTCTGTATCGGAAACCACAAATCTCAGCCACGTTGCCATGACTTGTGACCGAGAGAAAGTGACGACCTCAGACATGCCCAGGCACGGGACATTGCTTCTGGCTGGGAAAACGACCTTCATACCGCTCCTCACTGGGACCCCCGCATGAAGTCTGCCCTTGGTGTCCTCCCCACGGAATGTGTCCAAGTTGCCATGTAGACACCGGAAGGCAAAATCAACTATGAAAAACAACACTAATGAACTTCTAAATCCAGTTTAGCTCATTCGTGTATGCGACTGGTCGTGCGTGCGATCCCAGCCATGGTATGACTCTGTTCGAGGCGGTTGTACAATATTGTCCACCCGCAGCCATCCCCCCCCCCCCCCGACCCACCCTCGAGTTTCGATACCCGACTGTAAGCATTCTGCCAAAGGCCCTTCGCCCAGAGTCCTGGATCTCCGTCTGCCCTGCCGCTGCCGGTCGCATCCGGCGGACCAGGAGGCCGCAAGCCTAGGGCTCAGGGGCAAAAAACGCATACATTTAATGCGTTTAACCATCTCTTCTTTGACTTCGGTAAAGCGATATTAGGGGACTTCTTGCCAGGGCGGCAGCTGAAGGATCCTGTCTGTGGATTTTGAGAAGGGGCGTTGAGGGTCAGGCAACGTCGTCAGTGGACGATAGTTGGTGACATTGCTCTAACTGGGAGTATCGCCGGATTCATGTGAGGATTCTACGTTTTTGAATACGGTTTCAAACTCGAGCTGAATGATGCTGAATGTGGGGCTGAGGACTTTAGGATTATTGTGGCTTGCCGGCTTTGGAGCCCGGGCGAGTTGAGCTGACAGCTTTAGCCAGATTTCACCAGCAAGCAGCAAGATGCAGCAAGTAACACCCCCTAGCCTCACAATCGGAGAAATGCCGAACACACAGGAATGGCTGCTGCGCCGAGGAGCGAAGCAAAGCATGAGACACACCACGAAGCCCCTTAGATCCGTTGCTTTCTCGTGGCGCTGCCCAGTGCGGCACACTTGCAGATAAGCAGCACAAATGCGCCGGCGAGGACGTAACCATCAGCGTTCAGGGCACCTGCCTGGAGACGGAAGTTGCTTCACATTCGCAACAGACGCTTTGTCCACGCCTCTGGGTCCCACATGGAATCAAAGGGGATAATCTGGACCTCTCGGCGACGCTCTGAAAGGTCCGGGGAGGTTTGCTCAGTGGAAGCTTGCAGGAAATTATCCCACACGGAGTGAGCTCAACGAAAGAGCATCAGCAGTCGTCTCCAAGTCCCGGACGAGAGCAAACATTGAGGTGTGGGTGGTCAGACACCAAGTTCCGTTCATCCTTGGAAACATTGCGAATGTGGGTAAACGTTCTCAAACTGCAAGCCTGCAGGCTGTACACTGTCTACCTAGTCACAACAGGCTGAGAGACCTTCCAGTATCAAGCTAATCTGCGCAGGTGGTTCTCGCGACATCCGCTCAATGCTTACTGCAACGGTATGCCTGCGGTTTCACTTCCAAGTGCCTGGCGTGCTCCCCAGCCCCAGCCTCAAAACAAACAAGTGCGGAGTGCAGCATGGTGTGGCCATTCACGACGTCCACCCTCCAAAAAGCAATCCTTGGAAACCCGTCAACATGAAAGTCACCCGTTCTGCCGAGCAGCAGCGCGAACGTTTCGGCGTCCACATTCCCCATGCCCTTCGTGGACCATGTTTGTGAGACCTTGAGGCGCGAAGGAACTAACCCTTCTCCACGTGGGTCACACCACGGTACGGGCAAACATTGTGAGGCAAGCTGGTACTGCTCGGTGCGCGCGGCTTCTGGACCAGCCGGCCAGCTCTCAATCCGAGCAGCTGGATCGAAAAAAGCACATTGGTCTCCCGGGACTGCTTCGCCAGCAGCGAGTTCTGAGCACATGCAAGGCTGAGGCAGCAGACCCTAGGCTGTACTGGGCTCTAGGCTCTACTTGTAGCAGAGCCATGGTTCACAAGGTCAGAGGTCTAAGCGAGGAGCGAAAGGCGATGGGCTCGGTCAGGTCGGACACGTTTGCCACGGTGACGGCGCCCCCGGCTTCCTGCACACAGCTCTAGCTTCGCCCTTTCAAGGCGTCATTCGGCTCCTCAGACGTGACGCTCTCGAGCTGACTTGGCTTTGGGTGTGCTTGGACTTGAAGGTTTTTGTGCGGCATCTTCTTGTGAGAGCTGCGTCGCACGAGGCCCTTCAGCCCTCCGAACGAGTGCTGACGCGCTCTGATGTGACACGGTCCAGGACCAGCGACAGCTCCATGACCTTGGAAGTGAGCTCGACCTCGGCGACTCAGAGACTCCGAAGCCTCCGGTAGCGATCACCGGGTCTCCGGCAGTCTCGCGCTCGGTGTTTGCATTTGGCAGCGTGAGGGACACCTCCTGGCTGGAGGAGGCCACCATGCACCCCTTACGGCGAGCACTGCGAGCCTCTGCAATTGTCATGACCGACAGCAGCACGTTCTGTCCCTGTGCCAGATCCTCCACCTAGGCTCAGGGATGGGTCCTGCAGCTCTACTTCAGCACATTTGCACTCTCGTGCCACATGAATCGTTTACCGATGTCGACTATAGTAGCTCAAGCGATTTACGCGAAGGGAAGAACCGGGCAGAAGCAGGCATCACGGCAGGGGCTTTCAGAGCTGCCCATGGTGTTGAAGCCGCGACCGCCCCTACTCGTTTCTCGCAGCGGTGGCCAACGCTCCAAACCCAAACAACTTCCTAGCCAGGATGCTACCGCCAAGGGCACAGAAACCTCAGGTAGTGCCACAATGAATTGCTCCGGGACTGGAGAGCTGCTGCGATGAGGTATGGCGATGAGTGTCAACTCAAGAACGTAGTGCTGTGGAGGAAAGGCAGGGCACAGCCACTGTAGACAATGACCCATCGTTGCCCGTGCCAACAGCTCCGGCATTGCCGTTGTTGATCTGCAACACCTTCACAGTGAAGGAGGCATTCAACTACGGCTTGAAAACCCCCGCTGCAACACGTCCATGATACGGTCGCAGGCATGCCAAGCCGCCATGCGGTTCTGGTCTGGCGTGCTGGAGTTAGCTGCGGAACCAGTCAGCTTGACCACAGTCACCTTGGTTTCTGACATCGAAAGAGGTCTGATCCCCCAACCGAAAGCCGAGTCACGTTCCCAGTTGGAGTCGACGTTGTGACGGCCCCTTCCGAGGACTTCGTTGCGAGCAACACGGACTCCAACGCGGCCTCGAGTAGCAATAGTGCGAGACTGGTCTCATTTTGCCTTCGCCGGCTTGACTCAAAAGGGCCCTCTGCGGTAGAGGGACACGTCTCTGCAAGGCTGCTCTCAAGGTGCACACACTCTATACACGCACCTAAACTAGCACTTTATCACACCCGTGACTCTTCTGGTGTTAGAGTGTGACAAAAGAGTGAGACGTAAGGATCGGTACTCAGCCGTCCTCTTTAGGATCCGCTTCAGTTGGATTCCCTTTCCTTCTCTGGAGTTGCTTAGCTCGTTTCTTCACGATGCTATCTATTGGCTGTTTAACGTCCAACTCATTCGTCTCCATGACGTGAACCAGTTTGGTTGGCTCCATCACCTTAGTGAGTGGATCGGCCACCATTACGTCCGTATCTATCCAACGTACCGTGTCTGTGAGGGACTCGTCGCTCGGACGGTAGTCTTCTTCGTACGGATCGCCAGCCTTTTCACCTTTCTTCCTCCAGAGGTCCTGTCTCAAGGACGCTATCTCTATAGAGAGACGTTTGTCCGAGTGTTTGGAACACTTCGGATTCATCAGTGTCTCCTCCAGAGATTTGCAGTCTGTAAACCAGATCTGCTTCATGAACTTCGCGGCTGAAGCTTCCCATCTCTTGAGGTCCAGTACCCCAAACAGGTCAGCCACTGCTGCGCGAATCACGTCTCCGTCTTCCACACCTGCCTGTAAGGTGTAGGCCTCCGCCTGGATGGTGCTTCTGCACACCCTCCGAACTATGTTCGAAGCCCAAGCTATTGGATGCACGCTTCCCTTGTCTTGGTCCCAAAGGGATGGTGTGGCAACGAAGATCATCCTCGCACCTTGGCTCCTGTGGTGCTCCACAGACACTGAGCCATTCACCAAGAGCTCTTCCTCCTCGTTGGCGTGCGAGGCGTCTGTGATCACTAAACTCATCAGACCGCCGGGCTTACTCCAGTCCAGTAACCCAGATCTGAAGGTAATACCCCTCTCATAGGTCTTGACCGCATACTCCACGGTCTTGTTCGCCTCCTTGATGTCAGCAACAGTTCCACTGTTTGAAGCTGACTGGATACGCGAAACCCTATACGAGAGGTCTGGCCGACACTGTCGGCACACCCAAGCAAGTGAGCCTGCCACAGACTTCATCTGCGTCCTGTCGGAGTCCGTTAAGGAATCTCCGGGGCGACGGCGCGGTGCTATCGGAATCTTCTTGATCGTCCTCGTAGTGTCACCGCAGGTAATGTGGATGTTGTAGTCTTCATCTTGCTTCACCTCTTTACCACAATACCTAAAGCTGTCGCTTTCGACGGTTCCGCATTTGAACTCGTCGATGATCTCCTTTATGATCCAGTCGCAAGACTGGTCACACGCCCACAATAGGTCGTCTACGTGGGACGTAAGGAGCATCTGTACAACTCCCTTCTCGTCCGTGTAGCTGTACAAAGCGCGCATGATCCTGTTCTCCCGAAGACCTTTGTTCTTCAGGAACGTTCTCAAACGTTTCCAGAATCTTCGCCCGCCGTCAGTTGACCCATAAATTGGGGCTCTTGCTAGCATGTGATCACCGGGCTTTAGCCCTGGTAACCCGCCCTTAGGCTGTGATAGCAGGAGTACCCTGTCTATCGCCTCGCCTTGAAAGTAGGCGTTAGTGACGTCCAGCGTCTTCACTTTGAGGCGTCTAGAGGCAGCGAACGAGAACACGAGGTTCTGCGCCTCTATGCTAGCCGTAGGGCTGTCTGACCTTGGGTCTCCTTGTTCGAGATCCCCACGCACTACAAGTCGAGACTTGTACTTGGCCTCCACTGTGGGGTCCGCCAAACGCTGCGCGTGGTGTTTGTCGACCTCGACCCATTGTGTTGGAATAATCTGGTGTCCTTCACGTATAAGCTCTTCCAACTGGTTCTTGTCGATTAATACTGCGGCGCTAAACTCCTTCCACTTGTTCCACTCTTTCTCCCTCGTCTTGTCAAGCTCTGCTTGAACTTCCGGAGAACACTTGGCGTAAACCAGAAGCTTTCCGTTCTTCTCCTTCTGCTTCTTGCCAGTGTAGTTCTTGCGCCTCTTCTTCCACGTGTTGATAGTGGGCTGGTCCCATCTATCTGCAAGGAAAACACGTAGCTCCTCATACTCCTTCTCTCCTGGCAGGCTATCCCAAATAGCTGCTTCCTTGTAACTCCAAAAGTGGCTCGCGTAAGCACGTATGCTCGCGTGAAGAGAAGTGTCAGAGCCTCCCGTGTCTATGCTTGACTCCATCGTAGCCTCAGCTATCGATTCCTGCGCTTCCTGGTCCACTGCAGGGACCAGCTCTGCGTCGGGAGCTTCGGTCTCCTCGACCTCAGGCTCCTCAACAGTCTCTAGGGTCACGGCCCGTGACTCTTCACGTGGGCCTACCCTTCTCCTGACTGCACGCTCTGTCGCAGGTAGAGTCGCCGCCGGTATCGTTATACTCGGCTCTCCTGCGGTATCGCCTGCCTCAAGATCACCCGTCGGGATGTCTTCTGTGGCATCAACGTACCTTCTCTGCTCACGCTCGGCATCTACATGCTCGAAGCGTATGTTACCACGGTTTAAAACCTGGTACGCTAAAACCTCAGCCGCCGTACACGGTCTGAGTCTCCCAAGGCTGGTCGCTACAGGCACGCCCTGGTGTACCACCCACACCGTTTTGCCGTCGAAGCCTATAACTTTCGCGACCGTAGACCAGGAGGGAACGCCATGGTGCTCCTCCCGGGAGATTCGGTAGCATACCAAATCCCCAGCTTGATATCTGCCCGGGAGTGGTGCCGCCTTCCGAAGAATGGCGGACCGCACCCTCCTCGAACAATCCTGCTTGACGAATGCTTTCCGGGCGGTATGGCGGAACTCCGCCCTTCTACCGAAAGCTGTCGTCGGATCCATCCGAGCTGAGAGTACGCCGAGTTGGCCTAACTCGTCTTCGTCCAAAACGTGGCCAACTCCCCTAGGCAGTCTGCCTAGGACCCACTGGACAGGCGCAAAGCCGCCTACCCTTAGGAACTCGTTCTTAGAGACTTGCCCTTCAAGCATAGCCTCTTTCACTTCCGTCTTTCCCGCCAGGTTGTGCTGTCGGACAATCCTGCGGAAGGCCCTCTTAAGGATCCCCCCGTGCCTTTCACATCTTCCGATGTGTTCTGGACTTTCTAGTCCGGCCTGACGTATCAATACGCCATGGGCAGCAAGTCCATAGGCGAATGCCCCTCGGTTGTGTAATCCCCTATCATGGGTGATTACTTTTGGCCAGCCGAACGGGGAAGCCCAGTACTTCATGAACTTCTGAAGGCACTTAGCGCTACTGGGTTGTCCTCCCCCAACACGGACAAGTGCTACCACTTGGTAACAAGTTCCATTGTCCACGATGTTGAGCCAGCTGTACTTCTCACCAACGCTGTCTGACGTCTCAAAGACGTCCACGGAAACCGTGTGGTTGAACTCGTAGGGCGGTGGTGCGTTGACGGGATGAGTGCGAACTGATTCGTCACTCACGCGGCAGGTTTCACATCTGAATACCTTCGCTGCGTTTATGAGCTCCTCTGAAGCTCCGGCTCCCCTCAACACCTGAATCATAACCTCTTTAGGCTTATGACTCATCATGTTGTGAAGCCTTCTGATACCCAGCCTTACTCGCCGTGGTACCTTTGCCCACTCCCTGCGCCTCTCGCTTTCCTCTTTAGGAAAACCCGCAAGTGGGAGTGTGTCAAGGAAGTCGGCCTCTGCTGCGGCCTCTTCTTCGTCCATGAAGCTGGTCCTATTGTCACGCTGATCTACGACCGCGTCCATAGTACCTGCTTCTTCGACTTCCTCCTGCCTAGCTTCCACAGGAAAAGCACTTGCTACGTTTTCTTCAACACAAACTTCAAGCAAGGCTGCTACCACACACTCAGCGAAACCCTCGTGGTCACCTACCGTGTCCACGCTAACTGGTGAGTAGTAGACACTGTGGTCGTTGTCGGCCCAGTCTACTAAAACTTCTCCTAGCGCCTGCGAGGTAGTGCCTATACCTAGGTCACCTCTACCAAAGTAGACCTGAACCTCTCTCTCACCTTCTTCTAAGCAGCTACTCGCCTCTAAGTACTTCCACCTCACACTGCTCACGCTGTCAAGCACAAGCACTTCTTTTGCAGCGCAGGCGGTGAAGCCGTCCAAGAAGCTCTGGGCTGCGGGTGAGAGCTCTGTACAGTCCTCCAGCCCTTCGTACACCAGAAGGAGGAGGTCCGGCTGTACCTTAGCAATCTCCTTAGAGATTTGCTTTGTCCATCCGATGTCCTCTAAAAGGATCATCTTGTGCCCAGGATGGCGTACCATCACTGTGGCTCCGGTCCTCTCAAGGGATCCGGGCTGAAAGTTGCTGTTCGCGAGCACGTAGATCTTCAGGTCGCTGTGGTCACCTGTGCTCTGCAGACCGAGTGCTCTGAACAGCATCTCGTCGTGAGTCCCGAGGTTCTTTGAGGAATCCTCGAAGGACTTCGCCAAGCTGGTCGGCATGACCTTCAGCTTGGAACCCGACAGGTCCGGGAGGCCGCCCACGAAGTACGCCGTGTTCTGGCGCGGGGGCACAAGGAAGACGAGCATCCTCTCAAGAAGGTCCACTTGTCGGCCGCGACGCCCTCTTCGACACACCTCCAGGAGCCACTGTTCGGCCACCAAGCGCAGGTGTACTTGGTGTACCTTGCCAGGGCTGCCGGGTGCTTGTCCCAGCTGTTCCTTGGGTACCTGCGGAACGAGACCCTGACGGCGCTGGTGGGGCCGCGCCTGTTCTGGAGCCACGCCTTAAAGGCGCACCCCTTGCCTCCACCCTGGAAGCTCTTGTGGCCGTCCACCACCAAGTGCAAGAAGCGGTCCGTCAGGTGGTGCGGCTTCGAGACGTCCTCGTTCAGGTCCAAGAGGTCCTGCCTGGCCTCGGGGTGGTCCTCCTGCTCGTGCTCTGGCTTCCCTTTCTTGCCCTTCTGGGCTCCTTTTCCTTTCCCTGTCGCCTTTCCCTTGTCGCCG